CATTCTTCTACTCATTTTCAACCACACACTCTTCAATAAAATAATATTTTCCATCATATCAATAACTTTTCCTTCTTTTTCAACCACAAATTCTCCATCAATCTACTATTCCAGAATACATTCTTCCAAAATAACGTGGATCAAACACACCCTTAATCTTCCCAAATTAATTTCACCTACCCTACCCCTACTCCCATTACATCGCCTACCCCTCCCGCTACCATCACTTAGTCAAATAATTAAAAAGAGAAGTAAAAGTATAAAAAAAAGTAAGAAAAATTAAAAATAGAAAAAGAAAAATAAATAAATGGTTCTGCTTACACATCAAATTCCGCACCCAACCATCACCACCGCCCATTCTTCACATCCTACTGCAGTACTATCTAGGAATTTAACTATTTTCCTGTAATTAAGTTTAGAAGTTAAGAGAAAAAGAATCTTATTTTTTCGAGAAGATGAATTTTCTTTTTTTTTTTTTTTAGTATGTATTGAATTATTTTAAGTGGGACTCATTTGCACTATTTGAAAACTTTAGGAATTTAAATGCAACTATTTATTTTTTTTATATTTTTTATTTCTTTACTATCTGTTTACTTAAAGATGATGGTAAATTAATCATTTTACAATGTTTTAATGGAAAAAAAATAGACGATAAGAACTTTTGCGCAAAGAAGGATCGATCTGAGAATACAAATATTAAAATTGAAACTATAAGGACGATTTGAGCAATGAAAAATGACATTTTGCACCAATTTTTCATATTTGGGGCCTGTTTGGTATGGATTTTGATTTTCTACAGTAAATCAATTCTCATTTTCAACCACACATTTTTCAATAAAATAATATTTTCCATCACATCAATAATTTTTTCTTTTTTTTCAACCACACATTTCCCATCATATCACTATTCAAAATCAATTCTTCCCCCAAAAATCCCTCCCAAACAAGCTCTAAATATTTCTTCACAGGTAAGTTAAAAATTCAAAACATGTTTCACAGCAAGNACTTACTTAGGCCCTGTTTGGGAGGAATTAAATTTTTCTACAGTAAATCAATTCTCATTTTCAACCACACATTCTTCAATAAAATAATATTTTCCATCACATCAATAATTTTTTCTTTTTTTTCAACCACACATTTCCCATCATATCACTATTCAAAAATCAATTCTTCCCTCAAAAATCCCTACCAAACAGGCTCTTGATTGAATGAGACGAAAATAACCAACTCTTAAAAAAAAAGGTAGAAATGAGGGTGCAAATGCCAAGTTTAAAACAATAGGAATGATTTGAGCAATTAGTGTAAACGATGATGACATTTTGTGATAATTATCCCATTGATTGATTGAACTCTTCACTTTTCCCAAAACACAAATTTACAGCAATAGAAATCATCCAAAATACCCGTTCAATTGTCATGTTTCGTTCAAAAAAACATGTCTAACTTTAAATTTTTATACATCTATCCAAACTGAAAATATAAAATTAGATGCACAAGGGTCACATGTATGATTTGTAACGTAGATTTGCATGGTTCAATTACCGTGAACTGATCGCTATGCAACTATAATAAAATATTAATGACCAACTTGTTCTTACTTAAAGTCTGAGGACTATCAGGGTAATATGTTAATAGTTTGGAAGCTAATGGTGCAATTTTTGACTTAGTTCATAAATTAAAATAAAAAACAAATTAAAAATTTTGGAAGTGAAATATAGTGGGGTCCACATGGGGAGCTCGAAAGGTAGGTTCCACACTTACAAAACCAGCTGTTACTCTAGCTCTTCATGTTCTCCATCGTTGAATTGATTTTGCAGATCTGGTTTTGCACTCTCTTTCTCTCTCTGCATTTCTACTTCTCTCACACACAGCTGCACACACTTCAAAATATGCTCACCAAGAAATGATAGAGGGCGCCAACTTCTTATCTTGTTTCGTTCTGCCTCTATATATAACGGACAGAGCTGCGAGGAGAAAATAATCAGTATAAAAGCTTCCGGGAGATCTGATAAATTCCATTTTTCAGGTAATTTGTAATGTCTTGTAAATATTTCGTATTTCTTCGTTTTCTTTTAAGTTTGAATGTAATTTGTTGGAAATTTATCTGTTTGACTTTTCCACCATTGCGCATCTAATGTATGTTGATGCCAAGTGAAGTATCCTTATAATTACGGAGAATTGTAGGCGAAACTGAAATGGATTAAAGCAAAATAGAATTTTCATGATGGGATTATGATCAAAACTTAAAAGTGGTAGTTCGAAGACATTGGTGGCGTTCAGATTTGACACTTGTTTGGAGATACAGAGTGGGAATTTAATTACAATTTATTGTGGATTCTGGTTATTTTAATTTTGTTTTGACATATCTATACATCTGCTTAAAAAATATATTGTTTTGTCTCCGGATAGGACTAATCGAGGAATGATAAATAAATGGGGAGGAAAGGAAGCTGGTTTTCTTCAGTAAAAAAGGCTCTTACCCCAAATTCTAAGAAAAAGAAAGCGCAGGTTTGTTTGAATGACCACTTGGTTCATCTGGATATAACTTAAGGGCATGTTCCATGTGTAGTATTGGATTGGACTGTATGAAACATGCCTAATTGTTTGATGATATAGGTTTTTTGGGTTTGATATTTTGGTATATAATTTCAGAAAGCAAGTAAATCAAAGAAGAAATGGGTCGAGGAAGATAAGCCATCAGTTTCTAGTTCTCCAAATCCGGAGACTATCCAAGTATCTAATCCTCATCCGCTTCCTCCTTTGGAAGATGAGGAAGATGTGAAGTTGACAAAAGTGGAGAATGAGCAGACAAAACATGCTTATTCTGTTGCAGTTGCTACTGCTGCAGCAGCTGAGGCTGCTGTAGCTGCTGCACAGGCTGCAGCAGAGGTAGTCCGACTGACTTCGGTGACTCAATTCACAGGAAAACCAAAGGAGGAAGTGGCAGCAATCAAAATCCAGACAGCATTCCGAGGCTACCTGGTACACTACTAAATGAATGTTTATATTTCTTCTTCCTCCAGTCAACTTGACAGGACAGATGTTAACATTTAACAGGATGGAAAAAAGATAATCGAGTAAATGGAGGGAAAACACATGCATTGTACTTTTTTTTTTCACGTGCATTGTACTTGCCTAAAGAGATTCTATTTTACAAGAGCAATCAATTTCAGTTAAATGGGTTAATAAGTGGGGGAGGTAGACCAAATTAACATAGCCGAGAATGGTTGCGAAAAGATTTGACAGCATTGGGCATTTCAGTAAATGATGTGCTAAGATTGAGCGGAGTGGCAAAAAATGATTCATGAAGCCTATCTCAAATTTATTGGCAATGAGGTTTAGCTTTTTGTTGTTACTATACCATTCTCAGATGCATAGTATTGCACATTAAGTCATGCACAATTCTCTAGTTAAGCAAATATTAGAGAATAATATTGCTGAAATTATAGAATAACATCGTTGAACAACATACTGTAATGAATTGTCCGAAATAAGTGTCAAAAGTTTGAGTGGGTGAGTATTTATAATTAGGAAGAGTCAAAGAAAATTTCGGGTCAAAAGTAAGAATGAAACCAAAGCTCAAATAAGTTCTTTTAATTGATGAAATTGGCTAAAAAAATTATCATTTTGTCACCATCAAGAGTTTAGTCCAAGTATTTGTTGAGGTCCACCTATGCATTACCTTTTGTATTTGTTTTCAAAAAATAAGGCAATATGGTTATGATGCTTGAGGCACAGCCACAAAAATTATGATGTGCCAAACAGCATCACGTTTATTAATATCAAGAGTTTTAGCTAAGTATCAATTAAAGCTCAGGAATACATTATTTTTTGTTTTTCTTGTCACAAAATTCAACTGCAAGGCTAATGACACATTGACACATTTTTTTCTGGAAATCATGTATAACTTTTTTTTTTTCAGACATTTCTAACTTGTGGATATATATCGCTCGTAGTTGCTAGTGAAAAAAGTGTTGGCTGCTCTCGGTCTCATTAGCATCAGATAACTTCTACATTTTGCAATTTTTAATCTTTTCCATTATTAAATACAAGTCACAATATGTAGGGAAATAAAGTGTAGGTTTGCCATTGATGTCTCTTAACTTTCAGGCACGGAGAGCATTGCGGGCGCTGAGAGGACTTGTCAGACTAAAATCACTTGTTGATGGGCCAACCGTCAAACGGCAAACTGCAAACACTCTGAAATGCATGCAAAATCTATCCCGCGTGCATTCTCAGATTCAGTCGAGAAGGCTCAAAATGTCAGAGGAAAACCGTGCACTCCAGAGACAGCTTCTACAGAACCGCGCGAAAGAACTTGAAAGCTTGAGGGTTGGTTCTTTTTTTAATACCATCATATGAAATCCATAAAACAATTATTAGCATGTTTGGCTAACTTAAAGGTTTACTTAGAAGTACACGTTGAAAGTCGAAAGTAATTTATTTTGATTGCGAAGTAAGAATTACTTTCAAAAAATATTACTTTTTTTTTTAACTCAGAAGTAAGAAAAATTAAGTTATTGAAACATGTAAAAGTAACTTCACTTCTTTATGCTTAGCCAAACATGCTCTAAGCATCTTCTGAGGGGCATCTATTCTTTAAGTATGACGTTAATGCATCTGTTATACAAGAATTAATTTAATTCCACTCCATCGGTCTAGACATATTTTTCTCAAATAAATTTTATGGGGGATAAAAAAAAGAAAAAAGAAAAGAAAAAGAAAAAATAACCTTGCTGCAGGTTGACGTCGTTTGTTTGGTTTAAATTTATATTTGATCAGTCTCTGTAATTTGTTGGGCAAGGCTTAGTTTCTTCTTGTTTTTACGTTTAGTATCTTGTATAGTTAATATATATTTGTTTCAGAAGCTTAGAAGCTGATTGTTCTATAGGCTTACTGGGTATTTCTTGGTGTATGATTTAAATAGTACAAATGAAATCTTGCTGAAGGTTTCCTCCAGACAAATGGTGGAAAAATCGTGCCTAAAAGCTTAGGGTCAGAAAATCTTGTTTACATTTTGATATTAAAATTGTCACTTCAGAAAACAAGCATCTTTCCTGATGATTAAATTTATTTAACCATTCTTGAATTTTGTTGAAGTTTCTAGATATAATATTCAAATGTTTCTGCAGATTGGAGAGGAGTGGGATGATAGTCTACAATCAAAAGAGCAAATAGAGGCAAGTTTGCTGCAAAAGTATGAGGCAGCTATGAGACGAGAAAAAGCACTAGCTTATTCATACAGTCATCAGGTACTTCTACTTAAATCTCCTTCACATGTTTTCAGCCTTCTGAAGAAAAGAAGGAAAATGAATATCTGAGGGCCCATATGAATTCACTGCCCTTGTAAAATCTAAAAGAAACTATGTCTCATGTTAACTGTGCACGTTCTTTACTTAGATTGTAGTGCTTTTTCTGTTGCTGCATTATTTCCTTTGCCTTGACATTGACCTACTATCATCCCAATCAAGTTCTTATTGTTTCTTATAATTGCCTATTTAGCGAGTGATAAGTAATATATTTGATGCTTATAATAGATCTCCCATTTTTCTTGGTACATTATTTACTTTGAAGTATTGTCTTATTGCATAGAAGAATAAGCATATAATGTACATTCACTTTTACTAGGCTAATTGCAACTGCCATTATCTCGAGTCATGTTACTTGACATGATCAGTATTATCAGAACTGGCCCAAATTTCTCGATTCCCAGCCTGGAGGTTTTGTAAAATAGATGTTTGGTAGCATAAGACAATGTGGTTTTTGGTTTTAATTATAACCTTTTTCAACTTGACAGCAAACCTGGAAGAAGTCCTCAAGATCTCCTAACTTACTGTTTATGGATCCAACTAATCCTCACTGGGGTTGGAGCTGGTTAGAAAGATGGATGGCTGCCCGGCCATGGGAGTCCGAAAGCACGGCTGAGAAAGAACCTAACAGTGACAGGTTATCTGTCAAAAGTTCAAGCATTGGAGGAGAAATAACCAAGTCTTTTGCTCGTCATCAGCTAAACTCCGATAATCCTTCTTCACAGGTCGGCCAAAAGCCTGGTCATCCTTCTAGTCATCAGTCCCCTGCACCTCCCCCTTCAAAGGTGACATCTTCAGTAACCGCCAGAAAATTGAAGGCGGCAAGCCCAAGATCGAGCGCAATAGGTCAAGATGACGACTCCAGGAGTATGCTCAGCATGCAGTCAGAGAGGAACAGGAGGCACAGCATTGCAGGGTCGTCTGTGAGAGACGATGAAAGCTTGGCGAGCTCTCCATCGGTGCCTAGTTACATGACACAGACTAAGTCGGCAAAGGCCAAGTCGAGGTTGTCAAGTCCATTAGGAACGGAAAATGGAACACTGGAAAAGGGAACGCCGGGTCCTGCAAAGAAGCGCCTTTCTTTCCCATCTTCACCGGCCAGACCTAGGAGGTATTCAGCCCCGCCAAAGGTGGACAACTCCTCCATCGCTGACAGTGATGCGAATGGAGTGATCAACTAATTATCTCCTCGTTCCTAAATTCAGCAGATTCAATAAACTATCTGAATTAAGTGGCAGAGAAAAATAAAGGAAAATGGTGAAAGGGTCAGTTTACTTGGAAAAGTTCCACTTAAATTTATTTGTTCGTTTGCTTTGTGGGCATGGTTTGGGTTGATTTCAATGAGTCTCTCAAGTCTTGAGTGATTTAAATTTTTTTCTTATTCTTTTCTCTCAACTATTTTTAAGATTTTCACACTGAATTATTATTGGTGATTGTGCCTGTAACTTATTGTGTTCACTGGTCATTGAAATCGATTTTCTTTTATAGAGTTGTATTCCTTATTCTCAAATCTCAACATTTAAAGTTGGGATTTGGTTATTTTAGTTTTGGTTAGGTAACTGTTTGATTGATGTTTGTGAGCTATGACCATCATAACTATCACAATTAAGGTATGTTTTCCCCATTTTTTAAAATTCATTTTTCTCTAAATTCATTTTTAAGCACGCATTTCATCATATTATTTTTTTTTTTTGTGGAAATTACACCACATAACTATTATTTTAATAAATTTCAAATATTACTTGTTAGCGTTTTTTTCCCCTATATTTACTGTAAAATTATAGTAAAAGTAAAAATGTAAGAGTAATTAAATAATACAATCAATAATTTCGGTAGCAAATATTACTCCTCGAAACACACTTTTTGTCACACAACCAAAATTCCAATCCCCTATACGGTGCCTTTTTACGATTCAAGCAATTCACCCTCAACCACACATTTCTCCCAAATCCCAGAAAACACTACCGGAGATTACAGGTTTCTTAATGTTGTATAAAGATTTCGAAGGAAGAATTAAATATACCTGGTGTGAAATAGAAATAGAAATTTGTAGAAGATGTTTCAAAATATAATCTGTGCCAAGTCATTAAATGCAGAACGTGAAATTGGGTGAATTCAAATTCTTTCAATTACAAAATGTGGTTTCGGTTATATTTTTGGAAGTTAGTATATTTAAGAATAATTAATATTGTAATTATATTTTTTTTTAAATTACTACCACTCAGTAAACAGGGAATTAGTATTTTGTATTAAGGCATATATGAATTTTCCCCTTTTTTTTTAAATAAAATTTACTAAAAATTTGATTCGTAAAACCAAACAGGGGCAAAAAATAATATACAGTATACCTACGGCCAACAAGATTGAGCATCCAAATATGCAGAATAGAATTGTCGAATTTTTTGAGGCTGATCATTCGAAAAGTATCTTTTTTGGAGAATGTATAATTGAAAATGAGTATGACAAAGAAGTGGTTTTCAAAAATTAAAATGAAACAAGGGCTAAATATCCGTAAAACAATATTACGGTCTATAGGCAGCAATAAATCATAAAATTACATAATCTTGATGGGATGTTCTTAAACTTTAGGAGTGGATTTTTAATTTTAATAAATTTAGAATATGTTACATAATTTATTCTTCTCTTTACATTGCTTACAATATCTACTTTAATCTAAGGGCCCGTTTGATAGATTTTCTGCTTTTGCTTTTACTTCTAATGGAAGAGTTTCTCGAAAAAATTATCTTAATTGGTATTTAGAAACTACTTTCTAAAATGGTTCTTTTCCAAAAGAGGTTTTAGAGGAAACTTGTTAGTCCGAATCCTCTAAAAACTCTTCCGATTAAAAGAGGCATTTTCATAAAATTAATGAAACGAATTCAAAGCAACTTTTGAGTCTCAAAAGCGCTTTTTAATTTCTCAAAAATCATACCAAACAAGTTCTAAGACAACTACAATATAGTGACATACCTCGATAATTAAGAGCCTATTCTTTATAATTTGCTCTATCAAAATCAAGTCATTATAATGAGCATAAGTAGGAGCGGATTTTGGTACCCAAAATAAAGGATAAACTCTATCAGAAGGGGACATATTTCGGAGTATGAAGGCAGGGTTTGACGATGGAGAGTAATCGGATTTAGTGGTTTAAGAAGGAGGAGGGGCTAAAGACACCATTGTTTTGGGACAAAGGAGCCCAGCCCGTCACCTAGCGAAGCTCAAATTTTGGGTCAGTCACGAGGTGGAAGTAATGGCGGCTGTGAGTGACGGTGGAGATGATTAGCAATTCCAATTACAGTAAGAAGAAAAGACGACAGTCAGAGAGGAGACGACGGACGAAGCTATTGTTGTAGGGAGAGTGATAATAGAGAGAGATTAGAGCAGATAAATGATATATAAATCTTTTAAATAATATTTATACTTGATTATTGAAAAAATCAGTATTTAAAATGTAGAATTTAGGGTAATTTTCTCCAAAACAAATTAGTCCAGGACCAAGATGAAATGTAACATTTCTTTCAATTTTTAATCCCAATATCATAACCTATTACTTACCTTTGGTTATTCTCACATTTGTATCCTTCTTTTCATCAAATTACTTTCATCAACCTTCTATTAATTTACAGTCTTATCAAAACGGATTTTGCCCCCCAACAAAAATTTTAGGGGAACGTAAAAAGTCTTGTTCACGTCTCGTATTTTTAAATAATGAAATAAACAAAAAATGAAAAGTACAATAAAATATTGTCTCTCATTTCAATGTATGTTAGCAGAATATTTGGACATAATTCATCAGCCGTAGAGGTTGACATTTTAATTAGAATCGGAGGTTCCAGTTCGACTTACAAAAAAAAACTTAAGAACCGGAACAAAAAAAATTGAGTAAGTCTAGATCCTTTCTTCATTTTTGAATAGGAACAGTGAGTACCCGACTTCGAAACCAAATTTATTGATTTTATAATTTTTTACAATTTATTGACTCTAACCCAATGACTTGACCCAGTAAATAGCAACTTTACAAAGCCTAACAAGTAGCAAGTTCGTAAGATCCAAGTATAAATCACCATAATAAATCAGATTCATTTATTTGAATAATTAAATCATATCACATTCATTGATAGTCACTTCTGGTCGTACATTATGCACCATCCACCCCATAAATCCTACTTAAGGTGGTGCACGTAGAGTTACAACAAAAAATAGATTCTATTATACTAAGATGCTATTTGGTGACATATTAGTAGTTGATTAAGGAAATGTGTGATATATATTTGATAATATGTTTTATTTCTTTTATTTCTCCTAGATACTGGAAAGATAATTTGTATCGTCAAATTAAGACCTTTTTAACAAAAATGTTATGGATAAAATTGAATCGAAACTAGAAACCTATGATTTGGATTTGAATTTGTTTTAGTAATTACGTAAAAGCAAATGATTTTATTTACGAAATACCCAAAATGTAATGAACAGTGTTCTAAAATGTATAATGCGTTGCGAAGCGTCGAGAC